GATAAGTGGTAATGAGCAGTCTTTGAGTCGTCTGTTAGTTGATTAACATGGTTGTACAATATTGTGAATGTAAATGTAAGAAACTCTAACATCTAACATCCTGCCAAGTAGACTAGAAAAGAAGTTGCAATCCGGCTTGACAGGTTACAAAACACCAGGGATATGACACCAATCTGCAGTTATGAACGTCATTGGAATCAGGAGTCACCTGAGAATCAAGAGACCCCGTCAGCCATTCTTCCAAGGAGTCTTTCGCGGAGTTGGGTGAGCTTCTCTAACTCATGCCGAGCCTGTCGTAAGTCGTGTCGTGCCAATTGCAAATTCTGCATGTCACGGTTGGTAAAAGTGGTAGCAGAAAGACCATAGAAAAGGGCTGACTGGAGGTAGGCCTTTGAATGCCTTGATCTTGGCACGTTTGGCTCTGAGTACCTGTTCCTTCGTCTTGTTCTTCTTCTCCTGTTCCTTGAGACGCGTCACAGTGATACGCGGGGCTTCCGGCATATTTTTCTGTATAAAATGCGCGTCATTAACGATGCAGGTGTAAAAATCAGTGTCAAGAAATACGTGTGCGGACATGACATACCAACACAGTTTTGAGCTCTTCGTGATATTCTTTTGCCTTGCGCACAAGATCTTCTTTTCGCCTTCCAAGTATCACAGCGCTTTCCTCCTCCTTTTCCTGAGTTTCTAAGATGGTATTCCACCTATCAATTTCAGGTGTGTATATAACTAGTCAGGGGAGGACGATAGGTAAATCACTTTTCGACGAGACGTTGCTCATATTTTGTAGCTGCTAGGTGATTCTGAAGCTCGAGCTCGATGCATTCCAGGCGATTGAGAAGCATTTGCATGGATAAAGAGTCTTCAGAGAGCTGTGTAATAGCTGAAGAGCAACTATCACGGTGTTACTATCAATACCATAGAGATCATGCATCGTGAAAATCACAAACCTAGAGAAATCGAAAGGATCATCGTAACAGAGGAGTTCCGCTGTATCTTTCAGAAGTCCAAGACGCTTGTGGGCGTCTGAGGAAGTCTGTGGTAAATGTAGAACAGAGGTGTACAGTGTCATAATTACATGAAGGAAAAAATGCGTCGTGGACGCGCCTGTGGCCATCACTGGGACCACGGAAAATTCCTTTACTATGTACCATACACTAAAGCTCTCCGACCCTCCATCAAGTATGCCACCCCATTGACAGAGCCCCGGATGAAAGGTCCTCGAGCATAGACGATGGGGCAAGTATGAGCAAGGTCCATATTTTCCTTCAACTTGATAACTCATTCGTCGATTACAGAGTAAGTATTCCCTTCTTCAGTGGTGATTGGCAAAAGCGAATGGAGGAACCAGGGGCCGGCCGCTGAAAGTTATGGAGTTTTCTATTGGGTGTCCTAATCTCGAGACACTTGGTTTGAGCGGAAGATGTGGGCAGTTTGACTTATGGCGATGGCCATTGACATAGTGTGTCATGAATGGGTAAGATGCTGATGCTTTGCAGTTTCTTTCTTGAATTTCTTGGTGGACATTTTTATGACTACTCGTCGTAGCAAGTCAGAAAGAAAGAATTGTGTTTTCAATGAGCCAGTGACATTGTTCTTGGTGATGAACTGGGCCACAACTCAGATTCGACGGAAAGTGGGGCCACAACTCAGACTCGACGTAAAGAACTGTTCGAGAACGTACTAGTCCTGGCAGTGATCCTCCTAAGATATTGAGTGCTACTATTCACAAGAAGCTTAAGGTCGAGGAGGCTAGAGAGGTCAAGGAGAGGTGGGTGTAATGATCATAATGTCCTCATGGCTCCTAGGTCTGCCTTGTCTTTTCCAGGTTGCTTGGATACACTTTCAGTGTCAGAGAGCAGTGGGTGAAAGAGAGATCAGAGTCTTTGGGATATACTATACAACTTCACGTAAGTCTTAGTATGCACTTGTACTGTGGAGCATTCTGACTACCATCCATAAGATACAAATACCCTACATGGCCATATAATGTCCCACTGTAGGCTTAGTTACTTTGCTTCTTTTCATCAATATTAGAACATTGAAGCTTTCAGGCTGATACTACTCGGTGACATACCGGAAAATGCGTTACTAGTATTGTCGGGCACTTCACTTTGAAAATCGCTGGGAGCTCTAAAGCTTGGCTTTCTTCTTCGGCTCCGTGTGTAACTTCTCCACCCACTTTCTTTTGGAGTGAGTAAAACTTTCTCCACGAGGAACTGTGATACGCCAAGGTACCAAAGGGGTCAGTATCGGTCGAACCACATATATATCAGTACGAGAACAGATCTCCTCACCCCAGTCAACCTCATCATCCAATGTCCCGAGTGATACAATCGTAAGTGTGTTCTTATTATTCCCAATGAATAAAGATGCGCTGCACGTTGGGCAGAAGGATCGAAGCAGTGGTGCGCCGCTCTTGGTGTCCATATCGTGATACACTCTCATGTGGTCGCTTCCTTTGGTCACTTTGACTTGCTGGAGACGAAAACATATCGGCATTTGAACTACTCAGGAGAATGATCCAACGCACTTCTTTCTTAAAGAATCCATTCGACAAGAACGCGGAGCCCGACGATTTGCGACAGTTGACGCAATGGCACACGTAGAATGTAAAAGGCTCGCCGGTAATGGTATACTGAATGGCACGACAGAGACAGGAGCCATGATACACCTTCGTCATCTTACAGCGTCCTGAGCGGTTTTGAATGCAATATTATGTGTGGAGAAGGAGAGCAAAGGAAAGGATGTTCTTAGTTCCGGTCTCGGCATTCATCAGACCCGGTTGATCAATGTCCAATGATTGATCATCTTTCGAATATATTCTCCCTTTTAAGATGCGTCTGATCACTGGCAGAACTCACTCGCAATGCAAAGATATAAGACTGAACATAAAACAACAACTTTGACCCGGAATTCGAGTCCCACAAAAGCTCCCACACTACTACAACCAGTTATTCGGTATTCACTCGATTCCCCTCCCTATTTATCTATCCAGTTCGAAGCATCTAGAGTTTCGCCGACTGAGTCTTAATACTGTCGATCCATGGCCTTTTCCCTTTGACATATTTTTCCTCTCTCGGAACTACTCGGACAGGATTACATGGTTATCACGAGAAGGACAATTGTCACATAATGCGACTTACCCCACTCTGGCTCCTCGTTTAACGTTCCCGTTGCTATGATGATATAATCACCAGTGTTATGTTCAAGGAAAATATTGGAACCACATGAAACACAAAATGAGCGCTGTAGCACCTTTCCGCTTCCCGTCTGTGTGTCGCCGAACCGTTTGATGTTGTCTTCTCCTTGTGTTATTACGAATTGCTGCGCCTACTCAGCTTTTAACCCAAAGGCGACTCGAGAAAAGGTACACGTACTTTTCGTTTGAAAACGGCGTTGGCCATGAACGCCGCGCCTGTCGCCTTACGACAATTTCCGCAATGGCACACAAAAAACGTCATAGGCTTCCCGGTGACTGTATACTGGATCGTACGACATAGACATGAACCAGAGTAGGTCTTCGTGCTGTCTAGAGCCATGTGTGTCGTCGCTGAAATACAAGTCAATGCTTATCTAGGTTTCTAGTTTTTAGGTAGATCACGCATTACGTTGTCCCTCATGACCACACCAAGCGTGGCACTAATCAGGGACAACGTATTACCGTGTTCGAGGTCGGGGACGTGTACCTCCGAATACGGTTGAAATTCGGTGTAATTGCACTTCAAAACGTCAAGGACCCCCAGCCTTAGCCCCTCTCTACATACGAAGCGCCTCAGAGGGGGTACTAGCCCTGAGATAATGGCGGTACGCTACTACATTTATCTTGCCAAAATCCAGACAAAGATTGTCCTCGATCATCCTAGCTCAGATCCGCCTTCATTCGAAGACCGAGGACAATTCAACAGTGTTGAAAACATGTCCAGATTACCTGGAACACCACAATAAACACTATTCGGTGATTTGAGTCACGATTCGTCGTGATTCGGCTCCGTGTAGAAATTTTGAATTCCCCGTTGGCACCCCTACACCTTGGATGACCACGCATCAACATGGAGGCGCTTTTGCTTAGGTATGACCAGAGTTGGAACGCGATTTAGGTGCAATAAAATTTTGGAAGCCAAACATTGAAAGATTCATACATTGAGGGGATGATTTATGTCCTGGGTGTACATGGAACCAACTCCGGTGGGGAATCTCAGGCTACTCACCATCTCCGCCGATCCTCTCCCTTTTCGATTCATCTATCCAGTCCACCTCGCTTCTACTATGGAAAATACCTTTCTATCGCAGAGTACTTCCCCTACTAAAGAACACATCCCTATGGGATATAGATGATACGGAAAAATAGAGGTACCCCCTGAGTTTCCCCCTCCATATCGCGCAACGAAAGGCCCAAAAACGGGTCGCCCGACTCGAGCATGGAACTTCGGAGTTGCGTTGGTTTTACCAAGTCTTCTTCTTCCTCTTCGGTTGAGCCCTGGCTAGTACCAAGTCGAACACGCGGTGAGATACGGGCGTGGACGGTTTAATTCCTGCCAAAGAAAGGAAGACAGACCTCGATATCGTGCAATCCACGTATGGAGGTGGCTCCTGTGAATGTGACGCGTCCAACAGGCTCCGTTCGATACCATTTGATTCTCTGATAACTACGTAGCCCAGGTTCATCTTGTGCTTTGGTACTTCCAAATTGAATTATATCGTATGGCGCATCTGTGGAATGGATTTTTGCCGGGGTACTGCTCGGAGGAAGGCTGAATGGCGCTTGCAGATTTCCTAGTTCCTGCCAAAGCACGCATGAAGGTGGGCTCCTGTGAATGTGACGCGTCCAACAGGCTCCGTTCGATACCATTTTTGATTCTCTGATAACTACGTAGCCCATGTTCATCTTGTGCTTTGGTACTTCCAAATTGAATTATATCGTATGGCGCATGGGTTTTTACCGCGTCCCGCCCGGAGGAAGGCTGGATGAGACTTGCAGACTTCTTGATTTTTTATGTTCTTTGCTAGTATATCGGTTAGTACACGCGCCTGTCATTATCATCTTGACTTGACCGCGCGAAAGCTGGGTTCGACTCCCAGGCAAAGAGATAGGCAGCTTCGTCTCTGATATTTTTGTTCACTCTTTCGTCACTCTTTCGTCGGCCGCACTCAAGAGTAAATATGAAGCAGTCAACGATTTCGTTGCTCTTTAGATTGCAAACGTCATGATTGAATGGCATATAGCTCACGTATGGCCTTATCTATGTCTCAAACAGCTCAGGCTAATTCTAGTACCCAAGCGTCGCCCTCATTCGGCTCGAGCACGTACAATAATCTTCTGGCATGTGCCTACTGGCTGATGGATCCGACTTGTGTTCCGCTTCGAGTGGGAAGATGATAAGGCTCCTTTGGGAAGCCTTGATAGTCTACGTTGCACATGCAGAGCTGATTTGTACGGCGTGTTGACCAAAAGAGCTTGTTCGACTCAAGCATAGGCCCCCTGTAGACCCAGACAGAGCGCTCTTTCTGGAAACATTTGAACGCCCCTTGTTCGGATTCGGCTTGCGTTCAATCAAGCTCGCGCCGCACGCGCTCAAGCATGGAAGGCGGGACAGAATTCTCGGTTTACTGACGGTGCAGGACGGTGGGGCTGGTTTTTTGGTTAGGTCAACGGTCATTTGGATCAAGGCTGACAGTGATACTGTGATGAGTTTGTTTGACGAGCATGGCGCCCTTGATCGCTCGCTCGGAGCCTGAGGATGCACGAGTGGAACCAGATTCAGATGTCTGCCAGTGTGCTAGTGTTAGTCGGCAACCCAAAAGGACTTGTTCGACTCGAGCACAGCGTCTTGGCCTAATGCCCAATATCATCGTTCGGTCCCACTGGTGTGATGTTTCTTATGCGTAATCATTGCTTGGATCTGGCTCTTGCTTGAAACTACTTGATGAACAGCAGAACAGTGTATGACCACACCTGTCTACTAGGACTGCTTGGCACCCGTCCAAGTTTTGCAGGGTTGTTCGAGCTCAAGTCAGGTGTGGGACAATACTGTTCTACTCTACTTCTGTATTCAATGAAAACTGCTTGGTGAGAGGTGGAAAGGGCGTTATGGGCCTTCAGGCCTCAGGGGGAGCATACGACGCACGCGCTGGTAGAAACGGACATTTGCATTTGTCCAGGTTCCATGGACCTGTTCGAGCTCGAGTTGGGTGCGCAACAATACTGTTCCGCTTCTATGGTATGTATTGGAGCTGGTAAACTACTTGTCCCGGTACCTAGGCCTAGGCTTTGTGCAAAGTGAGTATTGTGCACATGACACTCAAGAGAGTTTATTGGCTCGAGCATGGGTACGGTATGTCTGAGTCAAGTTTATGTTTTGAGCTTCATATCTCGGATGGTGCTATGTACGATGACAGGGCCTTGGTGGTGTATGGTGTATGGTGCCCAGATGCTCAGGCTATATCGCAACACCCTGGACTCATGATACAATGGGACTGAGTAAAGAAAGCACCTGAGAACGGTGAGTGTTTCGCACCAGCACTCGACGCATCCACCTAAGCTTGTGTCACATACAAATTAATTCAAGTCCAGAGCTCACATCTCCAAGGGCCTCGGCCTCCCTCCATGGTGTATGTAGGCTGCATGCACACTTGCGGCCGGGTTCGTGCTGCTTACCTGTTCAACTCAAGCACCATGGTCATCCGGTTCTGGCATCACGATATTTTTTCGTCACTTTTCTTCACCGGTACCACAACTTGTATCGATGTACCCAGAGCTCTCCTTCGTGCTCTCCACATCGAAACGAGCACTACTGGTTATAGTACAGTACGAGTAGATTGTGAATGTAAGTACATAGCTTGATTAGAGGTGGCTTTACCTTCATCTGACTGCGTCTAGTTCGTAGTCAACGGGCGCAGACTACTACTACATAGCTTACATATCCACAACGCGCATCGCATACCAAGAATCTGAATCTTGTGCTCTACTTTGGTAGAATCCTAAATTTAACAGACTTTGATGGGTACATACTGATCATCATCAGCGGATCTACGTAAGCCAATTCTCAAGTCCGAGTCGGAAGGGGGGAATATATCAATATCAATATCAATTCGCTCATCCCCGTGCTGTTATGTACATCAGCAGTCTCATGACCAAGCTCGGGAACGATTCACGCAAGCTGGATGGTCGTGGGGGCTTGAATAGAATAGAATAGGACGGATGATTCTGATTCTGATTCGGGATTTAGGTATGGAATTTGCGCGTTCGAGGTGAACGATGGATACGACTTACCTTGGATAACCGCTAACCAAGTGCGGGTGTATGGTTATGGTTATGGTTATCAATAGTCGATAATCGACAATCAATAATCAATAATCACAAGCCTATATAAAACAAAAAGGTCTCAGACTCGACAACAATACAACAATACAATACAAAGCGCGATAACGCAATTCCAAGGATCTCAGACTCGACAACAACAATACAAGCGCATAACGCAATTCAAGGCAAGGCTTGCTTTCTACTGATCCTAATCCGAGTTATGCTTGAATGTCTGAACTCTAACTATGGATAAGGATAAGGATACCTTAATCAAGCTAGAACAGTGCGTGTCAACGAGTGTTGAACGTTGGGCGTCGAACGTTGAACGTATTATACCCTAATATTGTAGCTTGTTATACATAGTGTTAGATCACTAGACCTAGACCTAGACATGACAATGACATCGACATCGGCATCGGCATCGGTGTCGGTGTCGGAGGAGTCATGGTGTCAGATTTATTTATTTATTGGAGTACTGTAGTCTGTAGCGTGCTTGTTTGGCAATGGTGTTTGAGGTTAAGTTGGTTTGTCAGCGTTTCAACTTCCCGGCGGTGTGGGTGCTGGTGGAGCGTATACCCTTGAAGTAGTGAGATGCGGGATTGATCCTCAGACGCTGCGTATTCGGCTGGTATTTGTGTTTGGCTCAGCTGCCAGTAGGAGTCCCTTAGTCTTTCGTTCTTCGTTCTTCGTTCTTCGTTCTTCGTTCTAACGCGGTCCCGCAGTGCCAGCGCGTCGTGGGTGGGGGCTCGGGAGCTCGGTTCTCCCCATCTCGTCGCGAAATCTCTTAGCACTTGGCACACGCGAGTATATCCCAATTCCACTACGCCACTGATCTGGTGCCTATCTCTTTGATTTTCCAAAGAATAAAGATAAAGCCAAGTAAGTAATTATAAACCCAGGAAACCGAAGAACGTCGGGATTTTGGCAGAGGGTATGGTATGGTATGGCGTGCGACGGCTGTGTACTGTATGTAGTAGGGCTGGAGCGTAGTGATAGGGTTTGGAAACTAAGCTCAAGGTTTTAAGTTCGCCAGTGAGAGTTGGATCTGGGGCGGCGGCTGCCAGCTGCGCTGCGGGTGCTGTACGAGAACGTGCCGATGATGCGATTTGTCGTTCGGGATATGCCGGTTTTGATTTTTCTTGTGGTTGTTGATTCGCGAGGAGGCGATGCTGGGATGTCGATGATCGGTAGCTATATATTATTAGGCGCCCTTGTTGAGCACGACATGACAGAAGTCAAGGCAAGGTACATGGCGGTCCCGTGTAACTGTTGAGACGCCGTCTTACGTCACGAGATGACAGGTGACGTGCAATGATCGTCGGTTCAGACGAGATTTCGAGATTGATTGAGGATCTTGGACAAAGTATCCCCAGGAGTTGAAATGCGGGGAGGGAGAAAGGAAGAGGAGAAAGGAGGGCCATCGATGGGAGCCGAGGAATGGAACGCAGTTTGTTTTGTTTTTCTTTTTGCGTAATTATGCTTTTTCGAGGAAGGCTGTCATCTTAATTGGGGCGTTAATGAAAGAAGCTCTCGGGACTCGGAGCGTCCTCTCGAGTACATATACCGTGCGATGGGCTTTTCTTGCCTACTTTCGTCGTCGTCGTCGTTGTTGTTGTCATCGCCGCCGCCGCCGTCGTTGCGCAGGATGGCCGCGTTTTCCATCGCCGAGTTCGGGAAGCTGGTGGCGCTTGCACTGGAGACGGACGACCCTGATCAGTTCTCGGAAACATTCCTGCAGTTCGACCCTGAGCTGGCGCCGTTAAAGAGGACGCATGTGGGAGTGCGGCCGCTGCCCCAAATGCCGCCCGCGATATCTGGCTGGACGGACTCGACGCCGAGCGCGCCACGTCGGCTGCTGAACAAGATCAAACACAAGGCGTCTGCGCTGGTCATGCGCGCCACCGAGCCCAAGGCCAGCGACCGTGCCATATTTGCGCCGCCGCCCGCGTCCAGCCGCTGTGGCCTCTTCGCGCCGTATCTGCCCCTCGCCGCGCAGCTCGAGCGCACGCGCAAGTCACGCGGCATCTTTTCGCGCCCCGCATCGCTCGTCACAGCCCCGCCGCCGTCGCCCACGCGCTCGTCCATCTCTGCGTCGTCCTCGCCCGTCACACCCACCACCGACATCTTTGCCCCGCGCCCGTCCACGTCGCCCTGCGCACCCGCCAACACGTCGCGCTGGTCCCTCGACACCGACGAGTCCACGACCTCCTACCACCGCCACCCCTTTGCGTCCATCCACGACCACACCGACCCCTTTGCAAAGGGCCGCGTCCAGGTCGTCCGCAACTCTGCAGACTATCCCTCCTACACCTACGCCTTTTCCACAAAACGCCGCTCCCACGGCCAGCAACACACATCCAAGCCAGACTGGACACTCGATCTCTCTCCAAAAATACCCACGCGCTCCCGCTCCTTCCTCTCCCACTCGCCCTGCTCGTCCTTGTCCTCGTCCTCCGACGACCACTCACGCTCCCACCCCCCGTCCGCATGGCACCCGAGCACACCGTCCCCGCCTCGCACCCGCAGACGCAAGGCACCTACTACGCCCAGATCCCCAGAATCGACAGCCTCCAAATCGACAATCACCGCTAGTGGGGATAGAGATAGGGACAGGGAGAGGGCCAGGGCGCTTGCGGTGCTCAATGGGGAGGTGCATCCGAGGAGGCTGGTTGGGTTTGAGCCGGGCCCTCGAAAAGCAGAGACAGACGTGCCTCCCCCCTCCGTACGATCGACGCAGCTTGAAGACTCGGAATCCGCGTATTATTCTGCTAGATCGAGCTTGGCCGA